CGGCCCCCACCCCCGCCCCCGCACCGCTGCCCCGATTGTGACAAGGCCTTCTCCTACCCATCCAAGCTGGCCACACACCGGCTGGCACACGGTGGCGCCCGTCCCCACCCGTGCCCCGACTGCCCCAAGGCCTTCTCCTACCCCTCCAAGCTGGCAGCTCACCGCCTCACGCACAGCGGCGCTCGCCCGCACCCGTGCCCACACTGCCCGAAGGCCTTCGGGCACCGTTCCAAGCTGGCAGCCCACCTCTGGACCCACGCGCCCGCCCGTCCCTACCCGTGCCCAGACTGCTCCAAGTCCTTCTGCTACCCCTCCAAGCTGGCAGCCCATCGCCACACGCACCATGCCACTGATGCCCGCCCCTATCCTTGCCCACACTGCCCCAAGGCTTTTTCATTCCCCTCCAAACTGGCCGCCCATCGCCTATGTCACGACCCCCCCACCGTGCCCGGCGGCCAGTCGACGGCCAGGCATCGCTGCTCCAGCTGCAGCCAGGTCTTCGGCCAGAGACGCCTCCTGCTCCTTCACCAACGCAGCCACCACCAAGCTGAGAACCAGGGTGAGCGGGAGTGAGCCCTCTCCTTGGCTCACTGGCCCCCCCTGCCTCCAGGCCCGATCAATAAAGAGGTGGCATTCTTAAACCAGGCTTAATGGACTTGCCTCTTCTAGCTGGCAGGGAGATTGGCCCCTCATACAGGGCTCGACCTTACAAGGCAGAGGAATTCTTTGCAACCCCGTTTTGAGGATGGGGTTGCACTACCCAGAGTTAATGGCTGGGCGCCAGACCATGGACCTAAAGCTGCGGCTTTCGGCTCTGGTTTTTCTCGCAAAGGTAAAAAGTCCGCTAGCATCGTGGGTTGGTGAGGAGTGTGGGGAAACAAGGTCTTATCCTTATTGTTGTAGGTTAAATTGTGTTTCCGTTTTGGCTATTTGTATCTATAAAATAATTAAAATGCACAAATGCTCCTGTCAACTATTCCACTTGTAGGAATTTATCCTATAAACTCAAGCACATGGACAAGGCATAAGCGCCAGGGTGTTCACTTCAGTGCAGTGGTTGTACCTAAAGATGGGAAACAATCCATCTTTGATAGCGCCCATCAAAAGGGGACCAGCTCGTGAATTACAGTATTCATAGGACAGAAGATGTAGCTGTAAGAGAAACTCAGCTCTCTATGTACTGATGTGGAAAGACTCCCAAGATATACTAAATGAAAAAAGCAAGAACAAAGGGTATACTACTGATAGTATAAAAAATGTTAAAGCACAAGCTTTGGAGACAGCCCAGACCCACACCGTACAAGCTACACAGCCTGGACAAGCTTGGTCACTTCCTTGGACTCAGATGCCTTATCCATAAAACAGGAGTGTTATGAGTCCCTTGGGTGCAAGCATCATCTCAGGCAAAGTCAGTTCCCTTCTGGAGCCAGTTTCTCCCATTAATAAGAAGTTCAAGCTAACACTGGACTGCTCTTCATTCCACACACTAAGCACCTACTGTGTGCTGGAACCTGCACAGTTGTTAGGAACACAGCCGTCAACAAGAGAGACCTGATCTAGTGAAGGGAGTGGACACTAATCAAGTAGTGGCAAAAAAGAAAACAAACAAACAAAAACCGTAATGACGCAAAGTCCATTTTGAAGAACAAGTAGGGAGCCTGGTCCTGACACGCATCAACCCTCACCTGTAGATCAGGATGGCAAACTTCTGTAAAGGATCAGATCACGTATATTAGCATATATTTTTAGGTTTTGCAGGTCACTCAGCATCTGCCACAACTACTCAACTCTGTTATTATCGCACAAAAGCAGCCACACACATTATGATACATAAATGATTGTGTGACTGTTCCAATAAAACTTTATTTACAAAAGTAGGTGGGCTGGATGTTGCCCACGGACTGTAGTTTGCAACCCCTGCGGTAGATGAGTGGAGAAAGGACAGGCTAATCTGTAAGTGAGCTGAGAGAGATGGAAAAAAATTAAATGGTAGGCGGAATAATGGTCCTTCAAAGATGTCCACGTCCTAATCCCCAGAAGCTGGTATGTTAGCTCACGCATGACAGAAGGGACTTTGCAAATGTGATTATGGATTTTATCTTGAGATATGGAGGTCTTCCTGATTATTCCATGGGCCCAGTGAAATCACACGGGTCCTTATATGGAAAAGAGGAAAACTGACGTGTCAGAGAAGATGTGACAATGGAAGCAGGGACTGGAGTGATGCAGGGCCATGAGGCAAGGCATTCAGCAGCTTCTCGAGGCTGGAAAAGTCAAGGATTCTCCCTGAGAGCCTCCAGAAGGAGCCCAGGCCTGCCGACACCATGATTTTGGCCCACGGAGGCTGATTTTGGACTGCTGTCCTCCAGAACTATAAGAAAATAAATATGTGTTGTCATTAAGCTTGTGGTAACTTGTTACAGCAGCAATAGGAAACTAAGGCAGATCCCTACCTCACACCACACACACAAGTTTCTAGAGGTTTAAGAGCTAAATCTGAAACACAAAACTCTATAACATTTAGATGGAAATAAAGAATATCTTAGTAACCTCAGGGGTAGTGAAAGAATCATTAAGACACAAAAAGTGAAAATTATAGAGAAAGAGATTGGTATGTTTGGCCATAAATCAAGTTAGAACTATGATACAGTACGGTAAGAGTGTATACCTACCATGTACTATCACAGAGGTTATAGGAAAGGCCTTCTTGATGACGTAATGTCTGAGCTGAGATCTGAAAGGTGTGGAGGACGGATTGAGATGGTTTGTAGAATCTCCAGCATACGGGGTAGAACCAAGCAGGGACATGGAAATGAGCAGGCTGCAGGCCACATGGCAAGATCCTGAGGGAGGGCTGGGTGGGTAAGGAATCGAGTCTCCTCCAAACCTGGCAGCACGACTCGTGTCCACGTTCACAGACAGAGCTATGTGGAGAGATTTCCTCCAAAGCGAACACCAAAGCTATCAACGCTTCGCCAGCACAAACTCATTTGAGAGGTGTTAATCAGGTCCCACCTTACCTTGCACACAGATGGGGAAACTGAGGCCATGAGAAGGGACTGGTCTACAACCAAATAATGAGGCAGTGCTAAGTCGGGGTGGATCCTGGGTCTCTCGACACCCTGACGCCCTGCTGCTCCTCGCATCCTGCCTGAGGGCCTTTGCACTTGCTTTTCCTCTGCCTGGACCAGTTTCCAGAGACACCGCCTTCCACCCAGTCCTTGCAGAGTAAGTCCTCGGAGACGCCTTCCCCCATGACCCTACCTAAAGCACCCCCTCCCTGCCGACCGCTGTCATCACTGAGTAACGCCGCCCCGCTTCATCTGCTCTCTCAGCACTGACCGCTGCAGTACACACCCACCGTCTCTCCCCCAGCAGAATGTCGGCCTCACGGGAGTGGGGGTCTGTGTGTTTTTTAACACTGCAGCCCCAGTGTCTCAATCACAGTGGGTGTGATAGGCAGAATGGCCTCTCAAAGATGCCACATCCTAATCCCTGGAATCTAGGAATAGGTTACATGGCAAAGAAGAATCCAGGTAGCAGAAGGAATTAAGGTCGTTAATCAGCTGACCTTATAAGAGGGAGATGATCGCAGATGATCCAGGTGGGCTCCATGTCATCACAAGAGTCTTTAAACATGGAGGAATGAGACAGAAGAGTCAGTGTCAGAGTGATGAAGTGTGAAAAAGACTCGCCTGGCCTTTGCTGCTTCTGACTACAAAGGGGAAGGGTGTGTGGGCAGCTGCTGGAAGCGGGAAAAGCCACGAAAGCAGATTCTCTCCTTCGGCCACCAAAAGAAACACAGGCCAGCCCACATTGTGATTTTCAGCCCAGTGAGACCCATTTCAGACTTCAGACCTCCAGACCTAAAGGATTACGAAGTCTGTTGTTTTAAGACACTACGTCCGTGGTAATTTGTTACAGCAACAACGAATATAATGAGTGATCAGTACACGTGAGAGTGAATAAACAAATGAGTGAATGCAGAGCCTAATACCACCTTCATCTCACAGATGAATAAACAAAGGTCAAGAAGGGGAAAGGATTGAGATTGGTGACCCCTGGTTGGCTGATGAGGCAGAAGCTGGGAAAGGGCTTGGAATGTCCAAGAAAAGGTTACCAAAGGGCAGATCTCGAACCCAGGTGACCCTGCCCTTTGTGCTGCTCAAACTCCTTCCTGACCCACCCCCCCGCCACTCCAGGAAATGTCCAAGGTTGACCTGGTATCGACAGCCCTTCAGGACAAAAATGTTCTGTCTGTGCCATCCAACACAGCAGCCACTGAGCGCTCGAAGTGTGGCCAGTGTGACTGGGGCGGTGAATTTTTCCTCTCATCTCATTGTAGTCAATTTAAATGGCCACCCACGTCCAGTGGCTCCCACACTGGACAGCACAGCTGCAAAGACTGTGTGTGCTCACCTTTCTGGCCAGATCTGCCGCTAAAGCCTCCTCACCACAGGTGACAATGCTCTTTAATGCCCCACCCTCGACCCAGTGCCCGCTTCCTGGCCCCTGCCCACGCCACGGCCCCTGCCTCAAACGCCACCCCACCTTCTGCCTGGACTCCCTAACACCCAGCTCAGCTCCCACCTTAAATGTGGTGCGGTCTCGAAGGGGTCAGGATTTGGGTGGATTGATTAAAATTCCCCTTCCCCCATTCTACCTCCCAAACAAAGTGATAATAAAACCATGCTGGTGACGGGCACAGAGCTACTTTTGAAAGCCTTGGAGAAAGGGAGATACCCCTGGCCAGGGGAGCTGAGACTTCGAGAGAGAGGAACACCTCACGAGCACCCAGGCCTCCAGCGCCCACAAGGGACAACCAAGACCTGGAAAGAGCCCAGAAGATTGGAATCAGCTGAGTGCTGGATCCCTAATTCCCTGCCAGCTGCCATTATAGGGCCGAGGGGCCAGGGAGAAGTGACAGAGTTCCTCCTCTACCACAGCCTGGCCCTCGGAGGGAAGGCAAAATTAAACAGAAAGACAGAAAGCTGGGAGCTCCCTGGAGGTTCCGGGAGACTCCTGAGAGGGGCAGTGGCTCCAAACCAAGTCACCTTTATTAAACTCGTGTGTGCGCGCACACGTGTGTATGTGTACACGCACACGCACACGCGCACGAGCACGTCCTTCAGGCCTGGGGCACCACCCCGTAGAGCTGGTAAGGAAGTAACCTCTGCTTCTCGTTGCAGCTGTAGATCCATCGCGGGCGGACGAACACCAGGGAGGGGTTGTCCATCAGGGCCTGGGGCGGGGGACACGTGTGAGCAAGGAGAGGGATGCTGGGGCGGGCTGGGTCTCCCTCTCCCTGCCCCTCTGACTCACCTCTTCAAAACTGGGGTCCCACTCCTGTGCTGTGATCACGAACTGGACCCGGTCACTCATATAGTCCTCAAGCTCCCTGACAGGAGAAAAGAGGCTGAGAATCGGTGTCCCCTCGCCTGACATCCAACTCTCCAGCCCTTCTCAAAGGCCATTCTCTCCTGTCCCCACCCATGTCCTCTCGAGGCTGCCTGTGGATCCCCATTCTCCCATGGGCCAGCCTTGCCACCTCCACGTTACCAACAGCTCCCATTGTCAAAAATCCTTCCAGAAGGGTGGTGGGGACCTCAGTTTAGAGGACACCGAGGGGAAGCTATGCAGCAGGGCTGCCCAGCAGCGAGCAAGGCTGGCAATGAACTCTGTAGCCTGTGCCCATCCCGTGGGGCACGCCCCTTCTCCACCCTCCTGATCACCCTCCTTCCCGCAACCTGCCACGCCCCCTCCCCTGACCCAGCACCCCCTCCCGGTCCCTGTCCCACCCCTGGAGACTGACCCATTGAAGGCTGTGACGTAGCGGCTGAGCCTCCGCCGCTCGTCCCCCGGGAACTCCCCGTACAGGAAGAAGTGTTTGCCCTGGAAGAAGTCTGGGGGAGACGGTGAAGAGCCAAGGTGAGGCCCCCAGAGTTCCAGGAGCCACAGAACACTTGGGGACAAGACAGGAGGGCTGTGGCCGCAGCAAGACAGGGATGTTCACGTACACCTGGCGGTGGAATGGTGACAGACAGCGGTTCCCTGCCAGGCCCCACCTTTTAAAATCTTCAGCCTTCAAACAGCCCGGGGTGCTTTTTGCTTTTTTTTTTTTTGGCTTTAATGGTAAGAGACGCGATTCTTATGACTGCAGTGTGCATCTTACACGAAGTAAATCAGACGGGCTGGTATCACTTAACGAGCTTGGCTAGGTTGGCAACTACCCAGCCGGCCACCCCACCTGGGCTCGCGCTCCTTCTCGACTAGTGCCTTCTCTGGCTCTGACCTTCGGGAAGGCTCTTTCTTCGTTCCATTTCAACCTGACTTTCCAGGCCATTGACTCGCTGACGCCACGTTTGGGGCTTTGCAAGGTCAGAGAACTTTCCTGCCCATCGCCCACGAGGAACCAGCGGAAACAGCTTCTTCCAGCGGCCACTGCACCACACACCTGCTCAGCCCTCAGGCTGCCTGGCTTCTCCCTCCATTCTCTCCGGCAGAGGCCCTGACTCCTGCCCCCACCCCATGTCCCGGGCATTCATGTCTGGGGTGACGAACAGCAATGCCAACACCACCCAGGTCCCAGACAGACCACAGCGCACATCACGTGTGCCTCGCCTTACCCCACACCAACAAAACAGCCTGGGGGGTGGGGCCTGTGCGTCCGAGGATTTAAAAAGCCCCCCAGGTGATCCTGAATGGCGGGAGCTAAAGCCCTGGGTGGCGGGTGGCTGTCCACATCTGGGACAGAGCCAAGGGGGTCAGGCTTGGCGATGGACTGTGACAGAGGTGGTCACAGCATGAGGTCGAGAGAGGGACAGAGGGGGAAGGACAGGAGGATGCAAACGGAAGGGAATAAGACTGAGGGGTATAAAGGCGGGGAGGGTCGGGGCAGGGCGAGGGGGGAAGACAGTGAGACAAGTCACAGGGAGGGCAGCGATCCCAAGGCTGGCCTGGGCAAGTCACGGCTGAGAACCGAGAGGGACAGACTCGACTCCAGAGGGGAGGGAAGGGTCTCCTACCCGGGAGCTCAGGGACCGGCAGGTCGGGAGGCTCTGGGGGCCCCTCGTTGTCCGTGTTCTCATCTGTGGATCCAGCGTACGGGTCCTCACCATTCTCTCCCTGGCCAGTGGGTGGCCTTTGTTCCTTATGCTCGGCCACCCTGGAGGAACCAAGGGATAGGGAGACAGCATGAAGACCAGATCCCCTCCACCCAAGGCTGGGGCCACCCTGTCCCCCCAGGCCCAGCCCTACCTTCTCAGCTCATCATCAGTGTCCCCAGAATCTTCTGCCCCGTTGTCCTGTCCTTCTGGAAGTGAAAGCTTAGTCAATAGGAAGCAGCGCCTTGTCTTCTGGGAAGACAGGTAACCCTCCTTCCCAGTCTCACACAGGCACCCCAAACCCTAACCCCTAGTGTCCTCCTCCCCCCCAGATCCAATCGTTTGGGATTCAGCCCCACCTCCCTGAGACCCAAGAGCTCAGGCTTTGAGTTCTTTCCCCTCTCAGATATGAGAGTCTGGGTCTCCAAACTTCTTTTCCCTCAGACCCAGGAGTCTGAGCTCCCAGCCCCTCCTCCCTCAGAACCAGGAGTCCCGGCCCCCAGTCCCCTCCTCCCTCAGACACAGTGATCCAGGCCCTCATTCCTCAGGTTCTGACCTGACTTCTCCCCCTCGGTGTCAATATCTTCCTGGGGCCCTGGTGAGGTTGGTTTGATCCCTTCTGGGGTCGGGGGTCTCTGGGGTGAGCTGGGTCCTGCTGCCTGAGGGGGCTTGGTTTTGGTCTGGGGGCGCTGAGGAGGGAGGGTGAGTAAGAAGAGGCTGGGTGGGTGTGAGTGTGTGTGGGGTGTGTGCCTCAGGAGGCAAGAGTGGAGTGTGGGGACCACAACAGACCCATGTCCTCCTCCCACGACACCCTCCCCCACCTGGGTGGGGGGCAGCAGACCTTTCGGGGAAGTTTGGGGGCTTCGTCCCCGCTGCTGCTGTGAGGGGCCCCCTCGTCCTCGCTGCTGGAGCCAGGCCCTGCCATGAGGTACCTAGAGGAGGAATCGGGCCTCAGACTCACAGCGTATCGCGTCCTCCGGGGCGGGTAGGGAGGGAGCTTGAGAAGCAACAGCCACTGGCATTTATTAAATTCCCAGTATCGAAACCACGGCGGCTCTCCCAGCCTGCCTCTCCTCTCAGGCCCGGAAGGCCCCACGGAGCCTGTCACCCCAGCCATCCACACGGGAAACCGGAGCAATGCCCGGCTGCCCCTCCTCTTGGGGAAGAAGTGCCCCATTTCAGAAAGGAAAACAATCAGAAATAATCTTCCCCTTTGAGAATCAAAGTCAGCCTCTCCTTGGGAGAATGCCTACCAATTAAGGGAAAATTCCCTAAAGCAAATACATTTTTTAAGACCTTGATACTATAGTCAAGGTTTTTTAAGCTGCTGACACTCCAGGAAAAAAAATTCTCCTTGTTCTAATGACAACAGCTAACACTTATGTAGGATTTCCTATGTGCCAGGCACCGTTCTAAACACCTGACAAATACAGGGTCACTGAACCCTGAGGTAGGTGCTATTTTAGCCCCATTTTATAGGTGAGGAAACTAAGGCACAGAGAAATTAACTTGCCCCACGTCGTAGGGAAAAGTACGCAGCAGAAGCCAATGAACGTGTTGGCTTTACTTTCCTGGCGTGCACATTAACACCCTTCAGCACATGATTCGATTATTTCAAAGCCGGTGAAACGCTGCCAGGTAAGTCGCCCCCCGCAGAGCGGGGGCTCATGGTAAATTCAGAGGCTTCGAAGTGTAGTAGTTGACTGAAGAATCAATGGTAGGTTTACTAAGCTTTTTCTTTAAAGATTCTTTAAATTTTAAATTAAAAGATTTTTAAAAC